CCGGGAGCCGAGGCGTTGGGTTAACCCTCCTCCTTCCCGAGCCTTGGGGCATGGCATCACTGCCGGGGTGCCCTGTGACACCCCACTTGCTTTTTCAGGCCACCAGCTGAATTTTGCTGTGTTTGATGGTCCCCAGGGGGGTTATGGCTGGGGACACGTCCAGGCTTGGTTGAGGCATGATGGAAGGATGCTCTTTAACGCCGGGGACCGCGGCTGGGGCACGGGCTGATGCGTGGGGTCCCAGGGAGGGAATACAAGGGGTTCACCCCACCTGGTCACCCTCCCTCACCTCTCTCTGCCCTCATCTCTCCTTCCCCTGCCCCTCTCCCAGATGAGATCCTCCGCTCGCTGGCTGGCCCCCCGTCCCTGCCGGGGCAGGACCCCCATGGCTGGCGAGTGCCCGTGGACTGCGTGCGAGCCAACGAGCTGTGCGCGGCAGAGCCCAGCTGCAGCTCCCGGTACCGCCAGTGCTTGGCCGGCCGCGACAGGAACACCATGCTGGCCAACAAGGAATGCCAGGCGGCCCTGGAAGTGCTGCAGGAGAGCCCCCTCTACGACTGCCGCTGCAAGCGAGGGATGAAGAAGGAGCTTCAGTGCCTTCAGATATACTGGAGTATACACCTGGGGCTGACCGAAGGTATGTGGGGTTGCCGTGGGGTGGAGGGTGCTGGAGGAGAGGTGGTCTTGACCCACCTTGAGGTTGGGAAGCTCCAAGGGCACCTCGCTGCTCTGGAAAAAATGAGTAAGAGCAGTGCTGGGGGTTGCGTAGGCACCGTGGGGGCAGGTGGCTGGTCCCCCCTGCCTTGGAGGATGCTGATGGGGCCGGGCTGAGGGCTGGTCTGCCCAATGTGGGCATGGGGCAAGGGAGAAATGGGCTGGGGACAGCGTTTGCAGCAAGAGCTGATGGCTATCGTGGCACAACCATTGTGCCCAGGTGCCCGGGCACCTGCAGGCCCTGGCAGGGCTCTGCTCCAGCTGAGCTCCCTCCCTCCTGCCTGCCCCAAAGGAGGAGACGTGCCCATGGGGTGCAGAGGGAAGCATGGCTGGGGCACGGCTTTGCACCTCAGTACTGGCTGTGGGGATCTCCGTGGGGTGCGGAGATTGCCGCTACCCCCTCAGCCCCTGCCAGCCCCCCGTTATTCCTTGCTCCGGTGGGGTTTGTGGGCTGGGGAGCTGCAGGGAGGGCTTGCGGGGGTCTCCCCTTGCAGAGTAGCCATGCGTCAGAGCCTGCCCTCACCGCAGCCTGCTGAAGGAGTAAATCAGAGGCTGGAGCAGCGCAGGTAATTGAAATTGGATTTTGCAACCTGGGGGTTGGTTTGTTTGTTGACAGCAGGATTATCGACTGCCCGAAGGTGGAGGGAGACAGGGGTGCACCCACCGCCCCTCGCTCCTCTGCAGGGGCATCACCTGAGCTGGGGGCTCGTGCTGCTGGTCCAGGGCTGCGGAAGGGCAGTTTACTGGGCTTGGAGGAAGGAAGCGGCTGGGGGGGGCTCAGCTGGGGCTGGTGCCAGTGCTGGTGGGGTTTTGCTTTGCTGTCATGCGTTCTCTGTCCCCTCCTGCACCCCTGTGTGGCTCTGGCTGCCCCCAGACTGGAGAGGAGCAGAGCCAGCACCAGTCCCATGGTGTAGATCCCTTTAACAGGCTTACGACGGGCTCTGCACGTGGAAGCTCTCAAATCCAGCTTCAGCTCGTGCAAAACCACCTGGACCAGAGCCCCGGAGTTGCGGCACGGTCCTTGCGAGGGCACGTGCCCGCCTGGCTGGTGGCACCTTGCAGCAGATGGACCCTGGGCCCCTCGCGGCACCAAGCGCAAAAAACTTGGCTCCGCTTCCACCGGGGATTTGAGCCTGTAAAAATGCCCATTCCTCTGCTCTTTCCTTGCCCCGGTGGAAACCCACCTCCTTTGGCAGCTGGAGCTAAAAGGGTCGAATTGCTGGAGCCTCCGTCCCTGGCAGCCGCGTTCCTGCAGCGGGCGCAGGTCTCTGCCCTCCTGCCTGAGCTGGGATTGAAGCTGGAGGAGGTGGTGGTGCTGCTGGGAGGGCTTTGGTGGCAGCCGTGAGGACGTGGGGGGGCTGTACCCAAGCCCCCCCGGGTGAAATTGCCTTCGAATCTGGGTCAAGGCAGGGACCAGCGAGCCCAAAAACCAGCTCAGAGCAGGAATTACTGCTTAATTGTTCTCTACTCCTCATTAGCAGCCTTCATTCAGCAATTTCCGAGGGCTTTGCAAACCTGAATGAAGGATGCTTTCCTGCTTGATGGGTACTCCAGGACCTGTACCTGGGGGAGGAGGAGGAGGAGGAGGTGGGAAGAGAAGTGATTATACCAAGTCTTAAAGGGAGGCAGAAGCTTTGGGGAGATCCAGCAGCTCGAATCTTTAACGTGCATAAACCGGTGAGCGTAAAAGCTACGAGGAGCCCGAGGTGGACCCCGGGCTTAGCAAAGATGCCGTGTCCGGTGTCGCTCGGCTGCGGGCGCTGGGCTGTCCCTGCCATTAAGGAGGACTGCTTTCACTCCAGCCTCGTTCCTGGAGGTTAATTGCATCTCAGCGAGCTCAAGAAAAGTCCACTGCCCTTTTAATGCTCAGTAATTTTCCTAGCAAGCAGCAGGGTCCAGCTAGTATTTAATTATTTATTGCATCGGCAGAGCAATATACCAGGACGTTACAGTGTTTCCTAAATGCACTTTAATAAAGGTGTTATTTGTCATCGGAGCATTAGGAAACCCAGAGCTGAAGGGGGCTGGCATGAAGCAGGAGGACTTTGTAGGTTGCTTGGGGCGTGTTTCCTTCCCCACGATGGGCAGCAGCAGCCGGAGCTGCCCTTGACCCTGGTGGGGGCTGTTGCCCCCCATGTAGCATCCCTCAGCATCACCCTGAGGGTGGTGGCAAGGCCAGGCATGGGGTGATGGGCTGAAAACTCGCGTCTGCTGAAGACAGCCCAAGCTGGCATCCCACTGGGATCTCCCCGCCTGGCCACCTGGCTCAGCCCCCCTAAATTTCCAAGGAATGGCACTGAGGAGCTGCTGGGCTTGGAGCGAGCCCTCCCGCATCGCTCCCCGCCTCTTAATGAGCTTGTTTTCCAGCACAGGGTTTCAAGTGGCTCCTTAATTACACGGGATAAATACTGCTGCCTTGGGCTAATAATAACTCGGCAGAACACGCGTGGGCTGCAGCGATCCCAGCTGCCAGGGTCCGTCCTCAGGGCAGACCAGGCTCACCCGTGCCAAGGGCACCCGGTGCGGGCAGGGATCCTGCTGGAAGGGCTGCTGGGCACGGCGGGATCAATGCTCCGGGCAGCTGGTCAACCTCT